TCAAGCCTTACATTGTTAATGCATGGTGAAAATAGCTCTGTCGGAACGAACAACAACATTTATATGTTGCTTGTGGTGCTATAAGTGTAACATGTTTAAACCAAATATCGAATAAATTGCTAATGGGCATTACAAATATCAAACCAAGTGAAAGAAGCATTACAGAAAATAGTGAGATTTCCACGCAATTTTCTATTTACAAGGGTCTTAACTTCGGCAAAATTTTGTCAACCGGAAAAAAATCAAACTCGATCTGTAACTTCGTATAATATATATATAATATGACTATACGCCAAATATCAAATCAAGGAATTATAGAGACATTACAGAAAAAGTACAACAGACGAAAAGGCTGAGCGGGTAGAAGACTGATACCATAATTATTACAATTAAAATAACATTAGTTGTAGCCTAATGTTAAACATATTCACATTATGTACAGTGGCTTACATACAATAGTTAATAAGCCAGATAGGATCCTCCAAATGTTACGGTGGAGATACCACCTTTTAAGAATTCTAGGGAGGGTGACATGCAAATTGCCTCCGGAAGATCATTCCAAGCTGCAATAGTGCTTGGGAATAAAGAGACTTAAAATAGTTTTTACGTATATATATATGCCGAAACTTATGTTGTATCATTGTAATCATTAAACACATATCTTGCTGCCTTAGATAGCCTTACGCTGAATCTGCTTAATTTGGTTAATTTGGTTTTGTTTGAAGGGATCTCAAATTGGTGAGGAGTAGTCGACGTCGGACGCACAAGTGATGTGTACGCAAGGGTTTTAACCTTACGTGTACAGTTTTTCATGTTTCTACGTAAAAATCCTAGAGTTTTTTTTGCCTTTGAAGTTATATTATTAATATGGGCTCCCAATCAAGATCGTTGCTTATTGTAACACCTAGGTACTTGTTGTTCTTGACAGAATCAAGTACATGATTATGTAATTTATATTGAAATAAGTTGGGTTTTGACATTTTAGAAATATTTATGACATAACATTTTCAGGATTAAATTTCATCTGCCATTCAGATTTCCAGTTTTCAAGATTTGATAGATCTTTTTGGAGTGCTTGAGACGCATTTATATTATTTGATTTCTTATAAAGTAAACAGAAGTCAGCAAAAAGACGAACCTTACAGGAGACATACTCAGGTAGGTTGTTTATAAATAACAAAAATAAAGTTGGGCCTAATACTGTGCTCTGAGGAACACCAGAATCAACAGCTAATTTGGAAGATTGAAAACCGTTTAGCAGGACTTGCTGTTGCCTGTAAATTATTTTTCCTAATACCATAATAATTAAGTTTTCTTATTAATCTTTCATGGGGACCTTATCGAACGCTTTAGAAAAATCTAAAAGAATTGCATCAACTTGATTACCTTCAACTATGACATGTTGAGCTTCACAAGAACGTTTACTTCTAAAAGGAAGGGGGATATATCTTCCGAGAATATATTAAGGAAAATAGAAGGGATATTATCAGGTCCACTAGCATTGTGATCACAAATGTTGGCTTAATCTGCCAAGGGATGAGAGGAGGGGACTGGATCGTAATCCTTGGTAGGGAGATGCACGGAACCCTGTAATAACTGCTGTTGTCGGTGTTAAAGTATATGACTAAATCAAAGTTAATTTATCAGTTGAATACAGAAAAAATAAAACAATAAAAACGTTTTTCTTCAGATGCTATTGCTTGATTAATAACAAGCTTCTGTCTCAGGTTCGTAATATTCCTTGAGGTTTACAAAGTAATTGATGACTAAAAAGAACTACAGACACTATGTAAATTTCCATCTGTCAGTAAAATACTGAAGAAAAAAAATTGTATTTAAAATTTTTGCTATAGATGATATACCTTAATCATAATAAAGTCTATGTCAAAGTTTCATAAAACGTCTGAAAAAGTAATTGATATTTGATAAACTCTAAACCCAGGAAGATATATTAACTTTTACTATAAAAAGCTGGTATTAGTAAAATACGGATAGATGAAAACAAATGTATTTCAAACTTTGCTCTGTATATTGTATTTTTATCATACAGAAGCATCTATACAAGTGTCGTAAAAATCAATGACGGTATGAAAAAAGTTACTGTGGTCTGAAAAACGATAACCATATACTGTATATAAATATTAAATCCCTCCCCCAACAAAAAAGACCAAGTACATTTATCAGTAATAAAAGGAAGTATGATGTTGATACTGTGATTTTATCACAAAAAGCTTTTTCATATTTATATAAATATCCACGAAGGTCTTATAAAGTTATTGGTGTCTAAAATAGTTTTTATCGCAGAATGAAACTAAATGATGACGGCGTCAACGACGTCTGAATGTAAACGTTCGTGGCAGGCTCTTCAAAAAACAAGACATCAGCGATAACTAAATGTTTTTAATGAAAATGTATATAATTATACAAATTGAGACCAATAATAATCTTTTACTAAATATATAGTTCTAAAATATTGCATTGTTTCAATGATAAGATGCTTAAGAAATATTCAAATATGTTAGGCAGTGGTAAATCAATGTATTGTATTCTTATCTAAAATTGAGAATGGAAATGGGGAATGTGTCATTTATCTAGATGTAAGAAGATGTGGTATGAGTGCCAATGAGACAACTCTCTATCCAAGTCAAAATTTATAAAAGTAAACCACTATAGGTCAAAGTACGGTCTTCAACACGGAGCCTTGGCTCACACCGAACAGCAAGCTATAAAGGGCCCCTAAAATTACTAGTGTAAAACCATTCAAACGGGAAAACCAACGGTCTAATCTATATGTTGTGTACAAGTTATCATTATGTACAAATTATGATTTGTACAAAAAAATTGTACAAATTATAATTTGTATTTTGACTTTGTACAAATTGTAATTTGTACAAAAAGTGCAAAATTTGACTAAAATATTCACTTATAACTTGTACAATTATTCATAGAATGGATTTTGTTATAAAAAAGCATTGATACACACTATATAATTTTTATTTAATGACCACACAATAAAGCTTATTTTCAAAATACAAAAATACCCAGATGGAAACAGGAAATGTAATTGATAAATGCATGGCAGTTAATTCTGATAGTACAATAGAAATTGACCCATGCAGTGACAATTCTGATAGAATAATAAAAATTGGCTCCAGTGACAATTCTGATAGTATTATTGAAATTGGCCCAAGTGACAATTCTAATTGACTAATAGAAATTGGTCCGAATGACAATCAGGAAGTCACTGACGTTGAAAAAACAAACATACGTGCCAGGAAGCTTGCGCTGTCTGGCCAACAGATCCAAGCGAATATCTAACCAAGAAAACGAAACGGAAATTATCATAACTTGCTGTGGGGGATAATGTCATTTGAAACAGCATTGGGACAGTTGTAGGATTTTAATAGGATATTTGTCGAGAAATCAAATTGAAGCTGTTAAAGACCCATCTTTATTCGCAGCAACGATTCCTGAGCTTTAACTTTCGCTTCATGAACCAGCTTTCAAAAATGGTGGTCAGGGTTTTTTTTCATGTAAATGCAAAGGGGGTGCAGCACTTCTAAATGTAAATGTAAAAAGCAAAAGAAGTTGTGTAATTTCCAATGCCATAATTCACTCGTATGCTCAAACAAATCATACTGACCTATTTTTGTATTTTGTAAATAAGGTTTATTGTGTGGTCATTGAATAAACATTCTATAGTGTGTATCAGTAGATATGAGAAGATGTAATATGAGTGCCAATGAGACAACTCGAGATCTCCATCCAAGTCACATTTGTAAAAAGTAAACCATTATAGGCCAAAGTATGGCCTTCAACAAGGAGTCTTGGCTCACACCGAACATCAACTATAAAGTTCCCCAAAATGACCAGTGTAAAACCATTCAAACAGGAAAACCAATGCTTTATTTATAACAAAATCCATACTATAAATTATTGTACAAGTAATAAGTGAATTTTACTCAAATGTTGTACAAATTGTAATGTGTACAAGCACTTTTTGTACAAATTCAAAATACAAATTATAATTTGTACAATTTATTTGTACAAATTACAATTTGTACAAAATGATAACTTGTACACAACAATCTATATAAAATACGAGAAACGAGAAACACTTATGAACTATAGGAAAAATAAAAAAGACCGGAGGTTGTAACAATGAATAAGGATCTCTTCATTTTAGAAACAACATTCACTGATCATTATATATATACAATTACTTTACCCTGAAAGAGTAAGCAGTAGATCTACAAAATTGGGAATAACCATGCAAAACTGACACATTAATGCTCTGCTGTAAACTACGAAATTAAAAGAGTCTAATTCTTTTATTGTCTAACAAATATAAATGGTAATATACACATAAAATGACTAAATAGATATAAGAAGATGTGGTATGAGTGCCAATGAGACAACTCTCCATCCAAGTAAAAATTTATAAAAGTAAACCATTATAGACCAAAGAACGGCCATCAACACGGAGTCTTGGCTCACACCGAACATCAAGCTATAAAGTTCCCCAAAATGACCAGTGTAAAACCATTCAAACAGGAAAACCAATGCTTTATTTATAACAAAATCCATACTATAAATTATTGTACAAGTTATAAGTGAATTTTACTCAAATGTTGTACAAATTGTAATGTGTACAAGCACTTTTTGTACAAATTACAATTTGTATAAATTCAAATACAAATTATAATTTGTACATTTTTTTTGTACAAATTACAATTTGTACAAAATGATAACTTGTACACAACAATCTACTAGTATATAAAATACGAGAAACGAGAAACACTTATGAACTATAGGAAAAATTAAAAAAAAAAGACCGGAGGTTGTAACAATGAATAAGGATCTCTTCATTTTAGAAATTACATTCACTGAGCATTATATATATACTATTACTCTACTCTGAAAGAGTAAGCAGTAGATCTACAAAATTGGGAATAACCATGCAAAACTGAGACATTAATGTTCTGCTGTAAACTACGAAATTAAAAGACACTAATTCTTTTATTGTCTGACAAATATAAATGGTAATATACACATAAAATGACTAAATAGATATAATAAGATGTGGTATGAGTGCCAATGAGACAACTCTCCATCCAAGTCAAAATTTATAAAAGTAAACCATTATATGTCAAAGTACGGTCTTCAACACGGAGCCTTGGCTCAAACTTATTTTCTTACATATGATAAATAAACATTAAAATCAATTGTGTAAAAGAGACGACAATGACCATAACCTGCTTATAAATTACTCATGTCAGTTTTGCTATGCCTGTATAAGTTTTTGAGATTTGACCAAAATTATGAATTATTAAAAACTTACATTTCAGTGGCATAACTTCAAAATCAATTTTTCTGAAAATTCTATAGGAGATAGACTGAATCTGCTGATCATTTAACCTCGTCAGGTTCGCTCTTACTGCTTTAATTTTAGAGTTAAAAGTCGCTATTACTTAAAATTTTAAGCAAAAACAGGTTTTGTTCTTACCGTTTTAGTTTTTGAGATGTTAGCCCATGTAAACTGCATTTTACCCCCTATGTTCTATTTTTAGTAACATCAGTCATGTTTGATGATGAATCGAATCACCGAATACAATTTTTAGACAACAGAATTGTTTAAGAGGAGAACATGTCACAATTATGTAACCAATACTACATATACTGAATCGAATCGGTAACTTAGATTATAAAATACAAGAATTAAATCATTGAGTTGTGAAACATTATAAATTTCGTGTGTCCGAAGCGCTTTTTTGAATTTACCTTCATCAAGAACGCTCAAACCAGAGAAATTGAAAGCCAAGAATGTATAAGTACCTACTCATGTGAAGAGCTGTATGACATTATAGGACATAAAAAGCCCACATACCCCACGGCACCTTTATTCAAAAGAGAAAAGCTTTGAGTGATTTAATTAGTAGGTTTTTTCTGCTTATCTTACATTACGACTTTTTTTTTGCTTTAATTTAGCACCACGAAACCTTTTTTCTGCACAAGTTGCAGTCTATACTTGTTTGAAAAAATTGACAAAATTAACAAAAATACTGAACTTACAAGGTAAATTCAAAAAGGCTAAGTCAATAAAACTCACACAATCAAGAGTATTAATCAATGGAACGACTGAAAAATAACTCGTATGACTTTTACCTTTGTGGTATTGAATTCAAAAAGAAAAGGCATCTTCTCTCACTATATGTGATTATATATATTATATATATATATATATATATTGTTTTCTGTTTGATATTAAATTAATATTTATAATTAAGATCCATTTTTTACATCTGGTGATCATTTTATTTGGCAATCGCCAATGGCAGTCAGCAGGGTTTAAGAACATCCGTTGTTCGACCTGCTAGTCAAATGCGTTTTGTTAAAATATACTTTGTCACTTTTTTGGTCTTTTGGAAAATGTTGTTTATGCTGTATTTAGACCCCTTTACCAAGAAATTTGTTTTGCATGCACACGTATAAAAATTGCGGTTTTTATCCAACGCAACCATAGGTTTGAACGTTGTTTTCAATTTAGACTTGTTTATGTATATATATATATATATATACAAGTAAAGTTTCAATCACATATATAGTATTTATTTAGCATGTGGAAACCACTATTGTGCACACGTTCCTGTCTATTATTCGAAAGTATCACTTTGACATGGATTAACAATCGAGATGGATCTTCCTCTCATTTATATGAGCATACATCCGAGGAAAGTTGAAATCCGTATTTGAGTTAGCACCCAGAAACGAAAATGACTGATGTCTTAATAGACTGATGGACTGACGATGAACGACCTGACAGACGGATAAAAACTAAGTTCTATCACTACTCCGTTTCGTGGAGTAAAATAACAAAAAATAAATAGTGAACTAAAATCTGCAAAAATGCCAAAAAATGCAGCCAGCTTGTAGGTAATGGGCAGTTGTTTGCATTATATTATCGATAGTTCAAGGATTGTACTAAATCAGCTATATTTCTTTTATACAACTAAATGCTTAAATCAGCTAAATGCGTCGCTTTAAAACAAACTTTGCGATAAAATACTAAATAGTTGTGTTGCTTATTTAGAAAACGTTATATGAACATACGACATTAGTCTTTTCCTTTGTGTGAAGTTTCACCAGATCATAATGTCAAAAGTTAGTTGACGTAATTTTATTATTTATTCATTGATAGAACTACAAAAAAAAAAAACAAAAAAAAAAACAACCGAATAAAATATGCAAAACTGCCAATGAAATGTTAACTTGCAGTCCACAGACCGTATCCATATTGACAAAAGTTCAAATAATAAATCAATTACATTTCAAATGTACAACTAAATGCCTTAAAATATATTAATATATCTCTACACCAAACTACAGAATTAAATTAAGAATATTATTTTTGCAGCATAACAGAGAGGGCAAAATTGGCATGTTTCTCACAATTTTTCCCATAGTTATAACATAACTAACTGACATGATCACATACTTACATGAAGCTGAATGAGAAACAAGGATATGATTATATGTTATTATATCTTAATCACCAACAGCAATTCCTGCTGTCAAAATGTCAAAACACTGTTAATTTTGCTGTTGTCATATGTGAATAGTTACATTATAATCATGTTGTGCTGAGTCTTGTGGTAACATCTGCATCTAACTCACAGGTTTGTTTTTGTCATTTTTCCTTTTTTAGTCTACATATGCAGTCACAGACAAATAATACAGACTCATTTAACTGTCCTCTTTTTAAAAAAGGTCCTTTAGAGTGTAAAAATGCTAGCTTTCTGAGTTTTTCTACAGAAACAAAAGTAAAAGGGTAAACATGCCTCTGCCATTTAGGGTACCATATGACTGACACTACATATCAAATTTATTAGTGTCATCATTCATTATTAATCAAGTATTCGCATCCACTTTATATCCATTCTTTTTGAATATCTCCAAAATTTCTTCATTTTCCCCAACATTTTCCAATGCAGTGTTCTCCCATCTGTTAAACATAAATTATTATTAAACTTTATCATTACTTCAATACACTCACAATTCAAACATTTTTCTTGAATTTGTTTTGTTTCAATACCCTCGCGTTTTTATATTTTCAGTTATACTGTGTTAATTTTCATATTGAAATGTATTTCAGTATTGAAATTAACTTTACAAGTTTGCATTAATATATAAGGATAGAACACTACCTTTGGCATATAAAAAAAACCAAGACTGCCATGATAAAAATGCAGTGTATATCAAAGGAGTATTTATAGAGATTAGTGGCAGTAAACGGTACTTTATATTTTTGAAAATGTCATGAAAATGACAACTTAAAAAGTGAAACTTGTTTGGATTAAACGTGATTTCAAGCTACAAATATGACATACAGTCATTGATGATCGCATGTGGACATGCAAAATAAACAAAATTTAATCTTCTGTAACATTTCAGCACCAATATTTAACAAGAAAATATCGAAAAACGACATCAGAATATGTTTCGAAATATAAATGACATTTTGAGCTTCTTTTCAGTCAAATAAAAACCAGTCTTATAATTTTGTACGCACATGAGCATTTCATCTACACAAGACTCACAAGTTACGCTCGAATCAAAACAGATGGATGGCCAAACCAAATATTAATTTGAAGATATTAAAAACCGAAAATTCCCCCAAATTGTGAAAGTTGCAATACCTTCACGGGGGTAAAACAACCTTATAGTGTTTCGAATAGTTTAACATTTTTAAACAGAAAATGTACTAAAAATGAACATATCAATGATAATACATGTCAACAAAAAAGAACTGACTACTGGGCCGGTTATATCATCGGGGACGAAACATCCATAGCAGTGCGATTTTTACGTTTTGTTTTCAAAACCGTTCTGAAACCATTAAATATGACTGAAGCACAAAATCAAGGACTCCACACAAGTGTATTTAACATTGAATTACGAATTCTGCACATTTTATCCCAATTTATATACAGAACTAACCTGTTCAAGCATTCAATCAAATTGTTTTGTGGCAATTCATAGGGTAAATAACAACCAATTATTTCTCGTGAGCTTGGGTTCATCTCTTATTTACGTTACCATAATATATCATTTGTTTCATAGTAATAACCACAGGCTCTTGAGAGCCTGTGTCGCTCACATGTATCTACTGTTGTTTTGGAAATCATTCAAAATAAGGTTCAAATCATAATTAAGAGTATTAGGTACCCTAATAATGATTGAGGCCAAGTTTGGTTTAATTTGGCCCAGTTGTTAAATTAAAAGCAGGTCATCCCATTGTAGTCTTACAATAGTTACTGAAGACCCCTTCTCATTATTTAAATAAGTTTTCAAGTTGTGACCATTTGAAATTGTTTTTTTTTACAATTTTCCCTTAGACTTCTATAGTAAACCCCTATGTTCTATTTTTAGCCATGGCGGCCATGTTGGTTGAATGATAGGGTCATCAGACACATTTTTCAATCAAGATACCCTATTGAAAGTTGTGGCTAAATAAAGGCAAAAGTAGTATACCGCTGTTTAAAAGTCATAAATCGATTGAGAGAAAACAAATCCGGGTTACAAACTAAAACCGAGGGAAACACATCAACTATAAGAGGAAAACAACGAAATAACAGAACACACAAGTGCAACAAAAAACAAACAACTATGCAACATTCATAGAAACGAACTATTAAATATCAACTGACATATTCCTGACTTGGTACAGGACATTTTAAGAAAAAATGGTGGGTTGAACCTGGTTTTGTGGCTAGCCAAACCTCCGCGCTTTATGGCAATGTTAAATATACCGCTAAAATGACAACATAACATGACGGGAACAGAGTACAAATAAATGCAAAAACACCAAAGACAGAGAAATACATAAATAAATAATAAAATAGTACATTTGGACATGTTAACCACAGAATAACAACGAATAACTAAAATAATTTAGAACAGTACACAAAAACAGGTTAATAGAATTACGAAGTGTGTGTCTGTTACACGAATGGATCAACGCCACAAAAAGTAACGTCACAGGTGAATTTCTAAAAATTGGATATAAATCAAGATTAGGTTTCTAATTATGTTATTTGATGTATTTTATAACAATTACAAGAATATTAATATACTTGTGTTAGTAATAGTGCAACTAACTATGTCGACCTTTCTTCCAAATCAAAATGTGTAAAACAAATAAATCCTGTGCACATAGGCTAAGTGTATTTCTATTTGGCCCAGTAGATTAAGTGGAGAAGGTTTTGTAAAAGATTACAAAAATTTATGAAAAATTGTTAAAAATTTACTATAAAGGGCAATAACTCATTAAGGGGTCGATTGACGATTTTGGTCATGTTGACTTATTTGTAGATGTTACTTTGATGAACATTATTGCTGTAAACAGTTTATTTCTATCTATAATAATATTCAAGATTATAACCAAGAACTGCAAAATTTCCTTAAAATTACCAAATTCAGTGGCAGCAACCCAACAACGGGTTGTCTGATTCGTCTGAAAATGTCAGTGCGGATAGATCTCAACCTGATAAACAATTTTACGTCATGTCAGATTTGCTCTAAATGCTTTAGTTTCAGAGATGTAAGCCAAACACTGCATTTTTACCCTATGTTCTATTTTTAGCCATGTCGGCCATGTTGGTTGGCAGGCGGGGTCATCGGACACATTTTTAAACTAAATACCCTAAGGATGATTATGGCCAAGTTTGGTTAAATTTGTCTTAGTAGTTTCAGAGGAGAAGATTTTTGTAAAAGATTACAAAAATTTACGAAAAATTGTTAAAAATTGACTATAAAGGGCAATAACTCATTAAGGGGTCGATTGACAATTTGGTCATGATGACTACAACTGTTAAAAATAACCGTTCCAAATAACAGACTAAGAATACTTGTTTTGGCTCCTGTTAACCTCTTGGTTTGAGACAAATTACAAAGGATTTCAAAACAATCTTCTTAAAGTGGCAACGTCTGTTTTTCAGAAATGTTAATGCAATACAACCGACAGTATTGAGTATACAACACAGAAACATTAACTGACGAAACTGTTTGTTCGAATATTAAAATGATTTACAAACATTACCAAAAGTTTAAACAAACATTACCAAAAGATCTGAAAAATTAATTAACTTCAAATGTAATGACTGTTATTTTGAAGCATGACACTTACATAAAACGCAACTTGAATACTGTTTTTGTAAATTTACACACGATTTTTTTTTAAAATGCCTATATTTAATTTACCTGTCTTTAATATCAGTATTGATGATATCTTTTAGTTCCTCCAGAAAATAGATAACAAGATGTTCATGCTTTTCTGCAACAGCTATATGTAATGCCGTTCTTTTATCATAATCTGTTTTGTTTATTATAGATTTATCACTGTCGACATACCTATAATAACAATAAAAAGAAACTTATCAAAGATACCAAACAAAGATATATCATTTTAATATTGCAAATGGTTGAAGATGCCAATTGGTAACAATAAACAAAGATGACCAAAAGAAAAATTAGAACAGTCTATTACATCATACCTAACAGAAAGTTAGGGAGAGGACGTCACTAATGTTGTTATAACTTGTGTCCAATCCTTTTTGTTACTTTTGCAAATAAAATATGTTTAAACTAAACCTAACAGAAAAAAAAGATAAAATTGCTTAAAGCCCAAGAAAATACGGAGCCTGAATTCAGCTGTTGCGGAAGCGTTTGCAGTTTCTGCACCATAAGTGAAGAGACGCATTCCGTGCAACTTATATCCAAATATGTTGATCGGTCATCGCATGTGATTAAGCATCATACAATAGCGAATAAGTAGATGTGTCTAGTCTTACAATAGTAACTCACCTAATGCATGGACTATCGGTATAAAGAATATCTCAAACCCTAACAGCTAATGTTTTTAAGACAAAACGAGATAAGACTGTCCCCGATAGAAACAACACCATAATTGAGAAATTGAATACTATTAGCACAAACGTTATATTGAAGACTAAATTAAAAGCAATCCTTGACCAACTTTAAAATCAAACCGTTTTTTTCTCAATAAGAGGCCCCTGTCGTATAGATTATAAAGTATGGTAACTAAAACATAGATCATATCAGACATAAGTAGCATTCAATGATGTTAAAATCGATAAACTGATTATTTAAAAACAACAGCGGTACTGTAAAGTTAGATTTCATGATAATTCCTTGGCGGGAAAATTCAGTTAAAATTTGGGAATCTTCCCTTGAAGTCGTTTTTGGTTTTGTTCGGCTGAACAGAAATAGAGGATCCAACTAAAATGTTCAATTATAAACACGTGCAGCAGGATCTCAACATTGGCTTCAAGTTTAAAATCCTCCTGATTGCACGTGTGCTAGTTCCCCATTCATATATTATCCGACTGGCCACGTTATTACTGGTGACCTTAACATTGTCAATACCACTTCTCTGCGAAACGTGTTATCCAAATGCCCGATATATCCTGAACCATTAATTGGAAACACCAAAAATTATAAATTACACTTCTCTGCATAATGTGTCATCCGAAATATCGTGAGCCTGAATCTATCAAATGGAAACACAACTTCAAAATACTGATGGATTCAGTCGAGAATTATACCATGCAATCGGTTAAACACAAGAAAGAAGACGCAGATACTCTTTCCGAATGGATTCAGGGGATGAGGTCGTTGATATCAATCAAAAATTTAAAAAAAACTAATACATTTGTACACATGCAACATCAATCTTTAAACATGTTAAATACCCAAATGTTGCAAAGCACCTGTCCTACCTCCATGACAAATATGTTGTTGCACATTAGCTTGATAAATGAATAAGGTATTGACAGTTCATTGGAAATTCAACATGACATAAGTGTCTTTACACACAATGTTATATTGCTTGGTCTTCCAAGTGCTTCACACCACACAAACCTCTTTCCGTAAATGTGGATATACAAAAATCCAAGGATCTTTTAGAGTACATACAATGTGAGACTGTTTCATCTTACAATAGTTTTAAAACATTTGACTTTTCGACACATTACATAAGAATTCCCAATTCCAATGTAAAAGACATGTTATATGAATTGGTCCTGCTTCGTTTCATGAAAAGGAATGACAAAAATAGATACAAGTATCTTGTCTTAGGCAAGAATATATCGTTCTTTGTAAAAAAATCACTCTCATTCAAAAAAAGTTTTTTCTGAAGCTAACATTATTAAGATACATGATTTCTTGATTGACAACATATTTCTACAGTTTGGAAAATTTTATTTATAACAAACTATTGGCATTCCCATGCAAACCAACTGTGCTCCTGTTCTTGCCGTCATATTCCTTTATTCATATGAGACTGACTACATTCAGTAGCTTCCCATCGAACTTGAAATAAAGGATACAACAGATACTGTTAAGTGTGATTCATATCTTGACTTACATCTAGAAATTGATAATGAGGGTCGGTTGCGAACAAAACTTTACAACAATAGAGATAATTTGAGCTTCCTAATAGTGAACTTTCCATTTTTATGTAGAAATATCCCAGCAGCGTCTGTATATGGAGTATATATTTCCCAGTTGATACGATATTCCAGGGCTTGTATTTCCTATCACGATTTCCTTGATAGATGGTTGCTGCTCACAAAAGAGAGGCGAAAGATACCAAAATAACATTCAAACTCATAAGTAGAAAAATAAACTGACAAGGCCATGGCTAAAAAAGGACAAACAGACATACAACAGTACACAAAAACAACATAAAAAATAACAGAACAGAGTTTCAATATCCTCGCGTTCCACATATTTTATCTATCCATGGTACAAGTGCAATAAATAAAAAAAACACTTTTTATTAAGATCTTAGAGAAACAATGGTTTCAGAACAAATGCAATGTGATTTCCAATATAAAAATATTTCCAAGGGGCATAACTCTTTAAAAATATTTGTTCAGCACTTATTTTCGAAAGTGTCAAAGACATTGCTGATATGTACCTATGATATAAGTTTCATAAAATTCTTGCAATAATTGTACACATGAGAACACTTACGATGCAATTTTCCATATAATTAATGTTTCCAAGGACCATATCTCTTTTGAAAATATTTGAACGGCACTGATTTTCTAATTCGCCTAAGACATTTCTAATATAAATCTATGATATAAGTTTCATAAAAATCTGTCAAGAATTATACAAATGATTGCGCTAACGATGCAATTTTCCATATAATTGATGTTTCCAAGGGGCATAACTCTTTTAAAAATAAATCATCTGCTGTAACTTTTAAACTTGTCGGCACTGCTGATATAAATTTATGATATAAGTTTCATAAAAATCTGGTTACAATAAACCATTAGACTACATGAGCGCAGCCATTTTTATGAAGATAACATAGTATTCAGAATTAAGAGTATGGCTAATCCTAATTGGTCGATATGTGCACCCGTTATTTTTTATCATTAGAGACTTCGTGCATTCTGCATTATACCGAAGGCAAAATAATATATTTTCCTTAGCCCTAACGGAAATGAGATGATGTCTTTTCAACACTAGGATGAGAAACGTGTTTTTAAGTGCAAAATTGATAGGCAAGGGAGATAAGTACCTATAACGTTAAGAAAAGCAACCTATATTTTTTGGACCAAAAAATACTGTCCGAATAATTTTTTTTTAATTCTAGCAAGGTTTCGTTAAAAAATCAACTTTCTAAAGTCTGTATCTCGAAAAAGGCTATCATTTTCGCCTATAATAATTGTTTATTGCAATCTACACGTGACAGCGCTAACAAGACCGGACGGACGGACGGACGCCCGGTATTTCTATGTCCCCCGCAAAGCGTTCGCGGGAAATAACTCATGACTGAGCAACACGAACACAGGGAAGCTATTAAACCAAGAGTTCCAATGAAGTTCAATTCATCTCTTCGAAAATTTTATGGACGCCACCACTAGTTGGTTGACAGTTACGAAATATCTGTTTTACAAATGAAGGTGGATACTTTCAAATTGTTGTAATGGCAATTTTGTTTTCCTTTCCCCCGAATTTTACCAACCGAATTGGACTTATCACGGGGTTTGTATCTAAGTAGCACTCCGCATTTAGAAAATAAAAATTAAATTGAACGAACCACAAAATGGTTAATCATCTTCTATTCCTGGCTTTCTAATATATATAGCCAACTGTTTGTGTCATGCATGTGCATATGTATGTAATCAGCATCTTCCATAGATTTGATTTTCAAAAGTTAAAATGGTTAAGTATAATTCCTTTATTGCGTATCCGTGTCAACATTCTGCATTTATTCACCATAAAATAATGCATGAAAGTGTCACATATTCCCCAGAAATTTGGTTCAAACTAGAATTTCAATCCCTTGGAGTGGTACCTTTTCTGAAACTGTTGACATTAATCTACCAAATGATCAATTAAAATTTGGGTGTCTTTTGCCTCATTTTTTCGTAAAATTTAATCACGAAGTTCGTGCGACAAAAAGTTGGAATAAAACATTACAATAATTTCCGGACCAATGTCTGGTATGGATATGAAAATACGGACTATCATACAGAAAACAGCCCATTATTTATACATTACAAAATCTTGATCTTTCTATAGACCCACTATGAAGGTTATATTAATCTTCAGCTTTCCAAAAATGAATTTTATTGCACACTAGTTTCAATATTTGAAAAATCCACAGGGGCCAAAATGCAAAACTACACACCTAACTATGGAGTGCTACCTTACACGAGCAACATGATGGGTGACACTTTTGGAGCAGAATCTGCTTACCCTTCCGGACTTGAGATCTGCCCCGGGTTTTGGTGGTGTTCGTATTGCTCAGTCTTTAGTTTTCTATGTAGCGCTTTGTATTTTGGTCAAAAGTAAAACAACAAAAATACCGAACTCCAAGGAAAATTCAAATCGGAAGGTTCCTTATCAAATGGCAAAATCAAAGCTCAAACACATTCAACGAATGGAAAAAAAACTGTCATATTTCATTTCCATTTAGTTTAAAGTTTATTTTTCGACTGATGAGTTTGAATGTTCCTTTGGTATCTTTCGCACAGAAGTTGCAATTTTCCCAACAAAGCAAAATGAGTTCTTAAAATTAATCTAATTTGTTTTCGCATTGTACATGTACAAAAATCATATCGCAATTCAGAACAAAAATAAAAGACTGAAAATGAAAAGATTTAGTATTCATTGGTACATTGATATTTGTTTTTTTTCTCAAATGGTTTTCACCTGTTATTGACGATTTTGCCCTTATATTATCCAAATACGGAAATACGTTAGCCTTATGTACATAAGGCTCTTCAGTGGCGATCGAATCAAAACAGGTGAAAGGCTAAATCCGGTACGAAGTTGAAGAGCATTAAAAACTAAAAGTTCCGAAAAGTGGGGCCAAATACGGCTGAGAAAATCTTAACCCTGAGTATGCAAAAATCTCACTGTTTCGAAAAATCAACACTTTGTAAACAGTAAAGGAGTATGTTCACGAAGGGTTAAAATTGGCCCTAAGATTTGATGTTTTTTTTAATCAGGCCATAATACTACAATTTTCACATAGAAATAGTTATGATAACACTATTAATACAAAACAACTTTATTTTGGCACATCATATTAAAAATGACGAATCATTTACCTTTTTAGTAAGCATTATTTGAGTTGTAACATCAGTTTTGGTCAAATTTTCAACAATTCTTAACAATATTTAACATAATTTACTTTGGCCGCCACACAGGACCCAGAAAGTTTTTGTGTCTAGGAATTCAATATCATCATTGTCAACTCTTGGTTACAGAACATTTTGGATCCTAGATTGCGGCCAAGGGTTTCCTCAAGCTTTGAGGTCTTAAAAATGCACAAAATCATCGTATTTTGACAATATATCCAAAGTGAGCTGATTTTGAAGCCAAAAATGTACTCTTATGAAGAGACTTCTTTCAACAAAGAAGCAAATCTTTCGAAATAGATCAGTTTAAGAACCAAATTATGGCCATTTTGAAATTTTATGATTAAGTTGAAAATCAAGGCCATATTTGAAACACATCAATTATATTTCATGTCGGCAAAACTGTCTTGCCTACTAGGCTGGTGATATCATTGGGGACGAAACGTCAACCACGAGTGGCATCGACCAAAGGGGTTGTGAAAACTTATTGAAGATAATATGCCAGATGCGCGTTTCGTCTAATAAGACACTTTCCTTCGAAAAAAAGTACGGAACATTACTGTTTATATTCAATACGTAATCTTATATTGTTCAAAAACAATCATACAATACTAGAACTTCATAATCAGATAATTTCATTTTTCGTTACTCAAGTACAGAATTATACAAATTGAGTTCTTCTTCTTCTTCTTCTTCTTTTTTACTTCTTCTATAATTATTATTTAAATTTGTACTCACCCTCTGACAGATCTTATATCTCCTTTATAGGTCTTATTCAAAAGCATGAAAATTTGAACATTCGCTTCATATTTTGTAAATGAGGAGTTGTTATCCTGAAAAAGACAACATGTAAAGCTATGTGCTATTTATGTGTGATGATACTTACTCCAAATAAATATTGCTTATTTGCAGATCTACATTAATAGGCATGTATATATAAGTTATGGTGTTATTCTTTTTTTAGCCTGGGTTATCCGAATGAAAAAGTAAGTCTTAAAGGTTGAACTAATTAAATATACAATATACCAACGCGATATATACAGCAGTTAAGGTTACTAAAACGTTTGAAACATGTCATGTCAAAGTTCAAATGTTATTAACAATCAAGACTGTATGATAAATGGCCTCTTATAAGTTTATGAGTTAAAACATTTTTTTCACAAAAGCCTCATTGCGCATAGGAGCTATGTCACAAAAGAAACCATAACTACAATTGAGTCAACACGTCAGAAATTCAGACTACAAACTCGATGACCTCAATCGCAATAGAGAATTACATATATGCAAAAATCGTGTTTTAGGAAGGTATATATATCAATCATGGTACTGAATTATTTTTATTGACAACATATTTGTTAGTTTGGTGGAAAATTGGCATTCTCTTGCGAACCAACTATGCACTTTTCTTATCGACTCGTTCCATAAATTAAATGAGAAAGACTTCATACAGCTTCTATAAAGAACGTCATGAAGCTTAACAGTATCCTTTAACTTCACTTTCCGCTCTTTGTTAGTTGTGTTTTGTCTTTCGTGACGATCGGAGGAGTAATGCCCTAGAAGTGCAAATGTGCTGTTGTCACATCCCAAAGCCGACTATTGGAATGCCAAAATTGTATAAAAACCGAAATAATCGACAATCTACACAGTCAGGATTCTACTCCGTCAAAACCATCTCCGCATTACGCCATCTAATTTAGATAATCGTAAAAATGGAAATCATTTTAGTGAGTACGCGCTGTCAATTTAGCTCTTGAAAACCGATCAATTTATCCACATAGTACCATTACGATCATTACATGCCAGTTGTATTTTAAAAGACAAATGTACCTTCTAGCTATTGATCATCGTTTGATGTTCTTTTATGGAACATATACAGGAACTTCTTATGAAGAAAGATAAGAAGTTAGCAATATCCTTTAACTGTACGTTCAGCTATATAGATGATGTTCTCTAACTAAATAATACAACATTTGATGACTATGTTGAACGAATCTATCCAATCGAACTAGAGATAAAGGATACTACAGATACAGTTAAGTCTGCCTCATATCTTGACTTACATCTAGAAATTGACAATGAGGGTCGGTTGAAAACAAAACTTTACGACAAAAGAGATGATTTCAGCTTCCCAATTGTGAACTTTCCATTTCTATGTAGCAACATTCCAGCAGCGCCTGCATATGGAGTATATGTCTCCCAATTGATACGATATTCCCGGGTTTGTATTTCCTATCATGATTTCCTTGATAGAGGATTGCTGCTCACAAGGAAGCTATAAAACCAAGAGTTCCAAATGGTGAAGTTGAAATCATTCCTTCGTAAATTTTACGGACGCCATCACGAGTTGGTTGACCGTTATGGAATAACCGTTTCACAGATGATATCGGATATGTTCCTTATGTCGTAACTACAATATCCTTCCCTTTTCACGATTGTGACTTACCGAATTAGACTATTTACCGGATTTGTAATAACATAAGCAACACGACGGATGCCACATGTGGAGCAGGATCTGCTTACCCTTCCGGAGCATCTGAGATCACCCCCAGTTTTTGGTGGGGTTCGTGTTGCTAAGTCTTTAGTTTTCTATGTTGTGTCATCTGTACTATTATTTGTCTGTTTGTCTTTTTATTTTTGGCCATGACGTTGTCAGTTTGTTTTCGATTTTTGAGTTTGACTGTTCCTCTGGTATCTTTCGTCCCTCTCTTATGCATTTGCTCAACTAAAAACTATTATCTGATCGGTTGTTAGGGGGAAATTTCGAAAGTTCAAAAACATTAAAAAAATTCTTATTAAATATTTCGTGGAAGGGCAGACTAAAACTTTTCAGAGGTTGAAGATAAATTACCCTTGATAAAACACACATAAAATGATTTTTTTTGAAGTCATGCATTTCTAAGATCCACTTGTGAAGTCTGTCGTCAAGTACTTTTAGTAAACATTTGTTATTCGAACACACCTACTCTGTTGTTATGACTTATTAGAAAGGTATTTAATTGACCCATATATTTAATGTTTTAGTACTGTAAATTTTTAATGTTATTATATGAACCTATAGCCTAAATGTATAAAAATAATAGAATCTGAAGCAAGATGATGTATCAAATATTTTATTTTTATACGTTTTATAGACATAATCGTCAACTCAAGGACGGCTGAATCCATTTTGGGGATTTTTTCCCAAAAAAAACTGTCCCCGGGGGCAGAAGTGCAAATTAATGCTTTACAAAGATCAATATTTTATCTTTCTTTAGAATTTTTTTCGGCAGAATTCATGCTTATGCACAAAAAGATCCACATGTATTTGCACCTACCACAATCGACTGTTTTGTGAAAATTTGTCTATAATTTAACAGTTCACAAATATCTCGAAGCTCAATACCATAATCTAAGTAAAACCACATATATAAGATGCATAAAATTCTAAATTATACACATTCATTCAAGGTTTAAAGCCCATAGAAATAGATGCAAACAGTTCAAATTAGATCTAATAAAGAGTTCCATTTCTTTTGTTTAATTTCAACTGGGTTTTGGTCTGTATATGACCAAAAAGGACTTGAAGTTTGGTTGTACCTGTAAAAAACTTATTTCAAACGGGATAGCACATCCTCATTTTTACGGAGATGTTGTTTAATGTGCCCGGAAATTTAGAAACGATCCTGTTAAACTTATCGATCCTTTAAATTAACTTATTCTAAAAGGTTACCAATTCAACACTGTAATTAGATCTTTGAATATTGTTTTTATTGGTATTAATATTGATTTTGTTATCAGTAAATTAAAAGCAAACTAAATATTATTGTTATATACATATGCACATTCATTGATCTACAATCTGTCGATACCTGTACCTTGGCAAAGCACAAGGTCATGTTTTTTCCCAGACTGTTTATGACGTCTTTACACTAAATCCATTGGATGTTGGATGTGTACTGATTGATAATTTAGTCTTAGATGCAAGATCTTTTATCAGTTGTTAGTGGCTTTGAACCAGCTGTCAGTAACTGCGAGTACACTCAGATCTGTACTTAGTGTCTTTTTGTTGTTAGGATGTACAAGTACACGGCCACGTCCACTCTGTGTTTTTGTTATATGTAATTCTATTTGTATCCATCTGATAAGTTAAGCCCTTTTCAACTGATTTTTATAGTTCGTTCTTATATTGTACTGTTACACCACTGTCCCAGGTTAGGGTGAGGGTTGGGATCCCGCTAACATGTTTAACCCCGCCACGTTCTGTATGGATGTGCCTGTCCCAAGTCAGGAGCCTAAAATTCAGTGGTTGTCGTTTGTTGCTGTGTTACATATTTGTTTTTCGTTCATTTTTTTTGTACATAAATTAGGTCGTTAGTTTTCTCGTTTGAATTGTTTTACATTTGTCATTTCGGGGCCTTTTATAGCTGACTATGCGGTATGGGCTTTGCGCCTTGTTGAAGACCGTACGGTGACCTATAGTTGTTAATTTCTGTGTCATTTGGTCTCTTGTGTAGAGTTGTCTCATTGGCAATTACACCACATCTTCTTTTTTATATTAAATATAAAACTCAAATCCATCTAAGGTAAACTTTGCCCGAAGGACTTGAAACCTTAGTCTTAACAATTTTCTAAATTTACAAACTGACAATTTAAAAAAGGTAAGCTATCAATCATATCGGTACCGAAGTATTGACTACTGAGCTAATGATGCCCTCGGAGACTGATAGTCCATTAGCAGCGGTATTGATCCAATGCTATTAAAAACACTTCATACAATTTCTATACCGAATAACTAAATTCTAAGGTGATGACACCACCAGAGACTTACAGTTTAATAGCATTTAATTGACCTAGTACAAGTAAATGGAAATAACACTGTTAAAGTTCCGTGCGTCCAATGCGCTTTCTTGATTTTCCTTTAACATAAACGGACAAAACAGAAAATTTTAAAAATCAACGATAATAAACACTTTAACACATTAGGAGCTATGATCAAAAGAAGACACCAAACAATAGATAAATTCATACAATGTCAACATTACCTGAGAAAGTTGTAATCTTACTTCTAATAAATTGATACATTCATCAATTGATAATGTAATTACATTATACTATAAATCATGTCACCACCAAAGCACTAAGTACTGAGCTAAAGATGCAATCGAAGACAAACAGCCCAACATCAGCACTTTTGAACTATTGCTTGTATGTGGAAATAACAAGTTCTTGATTTTCCTTCATCATGAACATTGAACCCCAAAATTTGAAAACAAGGGATTATTAATATTTTAACACGTTAGGAGCTTTATGACCAAAACAAACCGAACAGTAACATAAATTTTGTACCATCATATGCCAGTTATATATTTCAACTGATATGTTCACGTGTGCATGTGAAATTTGCTGTTATAATATTTTGAAAATCATTGTAATACATTGATAAGACACGGTAATATATATACATAATACAATGGATAAGACTGAAAATTGACTGAAAGACTTAACATTGCCTAACTAATTGAGTGTCTAGTTTATATAAACTTGTTCAAATAAAAATGGTAGTTTCCGCTCAAAATCGGTTTACTGGTGGTGGATTTTGCAGTGGTGGTAATAATAAAATGCCGGTACGTTTGTAATTTATGAGTCCTTCATGGAAAAGTCTGTTGAAAATATAGGCGGCAGTAGTGTCACTTTGATGCGTTGAATAATTTTTTTTAAAGTATGTTTTTCGTTCTGAAATAAAATAATGTTATGCTCTAGCTTGTAGGATCGATATATATATGTTGAAAGCAGGTAGAATATAATATCCACCAAATATATGCAAACAATTTACAATCAATCCATGAATAGGTCTATGGAGAATTGGCATGTCAATCACGAAAGAGACAAAAACCTTGATTATACCAACAACTACAGGGCAGAATAATGAACGTAAATCCATTTGGAAATCTATATCTGGAGATGTAAAGTTTTTGTTAACATTATATAAATAACACATAGCTGAGAGGGTGATAGAGCAGATTGTTACCTCGAGAAAACATTGTCAACTGAGGTGAAGCCAAGGTTGATAATGTCTTTTCGAGGGGTAACAATCTGCTCTATCACCCTCTCAGATATATGTTATTTAATTTATTATACTGAATTTCTGTTATTACTGTCTATTAAACTTCAAATTCAAAGTAATAAACTATGTCGTCTTGTACATAACAATCATCCGTATAATAAAGCGCACACTTGAGCAAGCGTCTCCGTGAAGGGTAATAGAGTATTTGCCATGGGATAGAGTAAATTTTCTCCCTCGTATTAACCAATCAAAATCTGGCATTTTGACATGAAGTATGATAATATAATTTAAACGTTTGTTATCAATATATCTTTTGTTTTATAATTAATTTTAAAGAATAAATGATGATTTCCCATGTGCCCTTTAAACAGGGGACTCCAATGAGACCGAATCCCTAACCTGTCTTATTTTGTATTGCAGGTAATTGTTTGCTGTTTATAGACTTTACCAATCTATTATAACCGATTATAATTTTGAAAGTTTTATGTCGATGGCCCCAATCTCGATCCTTTTGGAGATCCTGCCATGTTTGCGATTGTTACCTTGATTTGTCTTCTTAATCGATTTGTGGGTTTTGAACCTGGATAAGATAATCGAAATTGTCTTCTAAGGATAAATACTACTACAAGGAATCGTATAATGGTTTCTGTAAATTTACAATAATGTATGTCTTGTATTTCTGATCATGTTGGCTTTTACATTTCTGCTTATGTACTTTAGTATTCGAGATATTAGACATACAAGTAACAAATAGTCAAAATCCTCACTTAGAATCGTCATTTAGGGACAATAACTACTATAAGGAGAAGTCCAATGGTTTCGGTCAATGTGAAATTTTTTAAGATTTATTGTTCATGATTATTTTTTCTGTTTACAGTTTCTTCTTAAGAGTTTAATTGTCCCTTTCGTATCATTCACTTTTCTTCTTTCTATCTATTATAGTTTTGAAGATTACAGGCAAAAACATAAAACTGAATGCAAAATCGTCATTTAAGGAAATAACACCTATATTGATTGTTCTGATAATTTTAGAAGATAGATCTTTACATTCTGGGCATTTCTGCACCTGATATATTTGTTTATGGATTTTGGTTAAAGATGTAACACAATTATGCATTTTACTTTATTGTTCCTTTTTTTGCCATGGCGCTCATACTGATTTATTGGGAGGAACATAAACGCAAACTTCATACTAGATACATCAATAATTAGTTTTGTTGGAGTGTATCTAAAATTGAGCTAGTGGTTTCAGAAGAGAATGGATTTAAAAAACTTTACGACGATTACAACGTCGCTAAGTGATGGTTGTAGATCACTCATCGATTGGGCATGGGTGAGCAAAAAAACTTTCAATGATCTTAGCAAATATTTGGATTCGTCTTACTTTTTCATTAAAAAACTGTTCAATGCCATTTTCGATTGATTTTGTGGCTTAATGATGTTTTATTTGAATTTACCACACATCAAGGTTAAGTCAACGTTGCATAGGCAAGTAATACTAAGACACCGTCCTATGCCGCTATCATCTATTGATATATGTGTTGATGATTGAAGGCGAATGTAATATTTACTTGAATCTTTTAAATTTTGTTTGTGAAACTGATACATTTTTGTGCCACATATTATTTACTATATGCTATTACATGTACAGGAATGTCGAACATAGATTACACAAAAATAAGACATAAAAGAAAAAAAAAAACGATGGCTTTCAGTGCATGTATCAATCAAAATTTCGGAAAATTGGAAGTGGCTTTTTTTGCAATTCCTAAAATTGTGATTCTCATTTTGCCTCACTAATCCATATCCTACACTTTCTGTCGCATAAAGATGGAACACATTAAAAAAAATGATTTTGAATAAATATTCTTGAGACTGAAATCAAAATCTTGCTTGATACGTACTTTTGAAAATGAGTCACATCAGGATCATGTATTTTGAAATTATTTTTTTGTTTGGATACTTTATAAAAAAAGTTGGCTAGATAACGTTCATTTTCTTACCATCGCTTAAATTATAGGAAGATATAAAATTAACATGTTATATCAATTTAAATATTGCATCATTTAAACTCATACCAAGGATCATTCACGTTGATTGCAGTAAATATAATGACAGTTTTCAAGACTTCAAAAAAAAAGAGAAGAAAAAACAACCTTACATGTACAAGCTAGTTCGTAAACGAAATAAATGGGCAATGTGTCCATAGGACACAGATGATGCCCCCGCTTGCATACAACATTATAAAGGGACGTAACTCAAGAATGGTAAAAGCGACGCTATCAAAATTCAAACTTGATCTGTGTATTGTGGTAATAAACATTGTGTATAAGATTCATAACGTTTAGTTGAGGGAAACTAAAGTTAGAGAACGGAAACGAAAAATTCAGCAATTGTTCCATTTGTAAGGGGGCATAACTCTAGAATGGTAAAAGTGACGCCACTAAAATTCAAACTTGATATGTGTTTTGTGGTAATAAGCATTGTGTATAAGTTTCATAACATTTGGTTTCATCAAACTTAAGTTAGAGAACGGAAACTAAAAATTCAACAATTTTTCCAATTGTAAAGGGGCATAACTCTAGAAGGCTTATTCTCATTTCGCCTTAGCTGTCAAAATAATTCTATAAAATTAATCCCAGTTTGCCTTAGTACAAATTTTCAGATACACAAGAATTAACTAAGGCGAAATGGGAGCTTCTGTAAACAATGTAATTAAGTTATGTTTTGTTTGTAGTGCAATTAGTTGATATTTGTTATTTTGATGTCAAATTCTACCATGAAATACTATTTAAAAGAAGATTTTTTTTTTTTGATTTTTTGTGTCCCACTTTTTAAATATTTTTTTTTATAGTTGCTCTTCTTTTTCTGAAATTGTATTTTTTTTTTACTCATGTGTTATATTTTGTAAATAAAGTCTTATTAGAGATGACAAATTGGATATGGATGTTTCATATTTTAATGAATAAATAAAGAGAAATATCAAACTATCATAACAAATATTTTATTTCTGAATCAGCACTGATTTCAAAGCACAATTTTATAAATAATAGCATAACAATAAGCACTTATACATAAAACATAAGAATTATTTCCATATAGTTCATATTGTGAAAAAAAAGGCACTGATGTATACATTTGAAAGTTAAAAGTTCATTTAGTTTCCAAGTTTGAGAAAGTAAGATGCTGCATCACCATACTGAATATAGTCAGTTGTACCATTGTGTAGGGTTTCCCTCAAAGTGGCGAATCTTTCTTCTATTTCTCTATACTTCTTTGCTTTCCCCCTCATCTTGCCACCTGCTGCATACTGTACTTTCTTTACCTCGTTAGATGCTTGCTCTTTCTTGAACCCATTGATTATTTCAAATATGTTTGAATGTGCGGTTTTGACGCTCTTTTTCAGCTTGTTATTCCAGCCCTCTAAATGATTATTTGTCCTGGGTCTTTCTGTTTGGTGGTGGTTCCAGGTTGGTTGTGGGTATCTGTCCTCTATCCATGTCAGAATTACATAGTTTGTTAATTTGGTGCAAGCATCTGACTGTGGTGCGTTTTCCAAGGCTTGTAACCAGTAGTCTTCCAAACGATCTAAGGGCAGTAATGGTAAAGCTGCTGCAGAACGGACGAGTTTGTTGACATCTGGGACATCTTTATATTGAGTTTGCAGTCCATATTCCTGTGTCTTTTTCCATATTGCTTTTGCGTAGTGGAACAAACAACCTCTGAGTTGTGCGTTTGGAAAGACATGAGATACTGCATTTCTTGATGCACATTCAAAGTCAAGGCTAACTCTGTCTGGATGAAAGTTGAGGTTATGTTGGTTGGCGATGTTTTTCAGGAGATTGAAGAATCTTATATAAGTGTCAGCATCTCGCTGTGGAAGCAAAGAATACACCAATGGAAACATGGCTGTCCCAACAAATGCATGAATGGTGAAAATGCTGTCAAACATTGGTGGTGCTGTGTAGAAAGTTCCATCACAGTATACAGTGTCTGCAGTGCACAGTTGTCGTAGATTTTCAGCAGTTGTAAATATGAGTAGCTTGTTGATGTCGCCATCATCAGCATGTAAAAATGGTTCTCTACTTGTGGTCTGGCGAAATTTTCCTTCAAGTTGTATTCTCGGTCTAGTATTTGGTATGCCTGGGTACAGTTTTTGTCTGGTACGATAGAGTGCTGATATCTTACTTTCGAAGGTAGGCAGTTTTTGTGCAGTCTCCAGGGTCTGGGCATCCCATGGTGCATCTCTGAGTTTTGTTATTTCTTCATCGTAAATTGATGGTATAGGTGTAGTTTCTGATCTGCATCTAGATCTAACAGATTCTAATATCTTTCTACTATTGACTGATGCATGGTTTGGTAGGTGATTGTGTGGTTGGCCAATCTTTGAAGGTACATCATTTCTTGTGCATATTGTAGCCCTGCAATATCTGTCTATGCACTTCCAAGAGATCCAAGTATCTCTTTTGTTGTTCTGGCGATGTGTGTAGCCATTCCATATCAAATGCCTGCCTCCTCTACTGGTCTCTAGGAACTCAACATGTAGCATTGCTCCTGCCATGGTCAATTGAAAACTGATATACTTTAACTGGATACACTCACTTTTTTATACTTAATCGAAGAATGTGAATAGTTCTCAATTATCATTATTAATTATAAAGAATTGTGCAAGCCATAGATTGTGAAGTGACAAACATGAGTTATCCCAAGCCAATTGCTGAGTTTGATTCAGTAGTTATGTAGACAAAGCTAACTAATGACCTAATCATTGGTAAATTAATTTGGACCAAGCTTGAAGAAGTTAAGTCATAGTGTACCATGTATTATCTTTATTATATATAATTAAGACAATTTAAAAAAAAATATTTATCATTTTATCTATTTTATTAAAATTTCTGTCATATATGTAAATAAATCTGTGGGAATGTATTTTTTCTCTTTCTTTTCAACTTTTTGTGTTGCACAATGTAAAGGTTAATTTAATTATTAAGCATTTTGTAATTGCATTAAATTCATACAATTGAAACTTTTATCAAATAAAGCATAAAAGAAGCAACTTTCCTACTGACTAATGTTTTATTGTAGATTTTTTTTCTGATTTCACAATTTTTTAAATCATAAAAAGTGTCTTTTTATAAATAAATATTAAAATAATAATCCAAGAGAAAAAAAAATCCCTAATTACATGTTGTTTATATTGTTATAAAAACACAGAGGTTTAATTTGTTAATTTATTTTTTTCATCTAAATTCACATTTCGCCTTAGTACAATTCCCATATCGCCTTAGTATTTATTTTACCTTTTTTACCTGAAATTCGCAGCTTAAGCGAAATGGGAACACACCCTCTAGAATGGTAAAAGTGACGCCACCAAAATTCAAACTTGATCTGTGTTTTGTGGTAATTAGCATTGTGTATAAGTTTCATAACAACTGGTTGAGGCAAAACTAAAGTTAGAGAACGGAAACCAATTTCGGAACGTACGGACGGACGTACGGACGTACAGATGGACAAGTGTAAAACTTAATGCCAACTCCGCTACGGCGGGGGCATAAAAAATGCTCTTTATGTTTTAATATTTTATCCGACGTTTTATTCATATATCATCCTACCTTATCTGTAGATGTAATCATATTCTCCATTTTGACATCCAAATAACTATTGACCATAGAAAAATGTCGTCTTTGAGCCAAGTTTTCATTAGTTCCAGCATCTTTTACCAATAATGCCAATTGATCTTTAACCACGTCAACAGGTCTTTTCATCGCCCTAGAAATAAGTAAGTATCAATAAATGATCGAATTTTTTCAAAATAGCAAAAGCTAATCGTCGGACCGTAAAGACCACTAATACTAGGAGTAGAAAGCGGCTGTGTACTAGGTGCAAGAATTGAATGAAGAAAAACACGAATTGAAAGTAATGTGTCATTTCCGATAGAAGAACAGTAAATGTATCACGTTTATAAAGAAAAAAATAAGGCCTTGAGTGTCAGGTCAGATAGAAATCATCTCCTATAGACCCCTCCCTTTACACACACACACTATATATTCTGCAAAAATCATAAAAGACGTTTCCCCTAACAACGTTACAACGTTGCTAATATCTCAAATAAAAGGCGCATGATACGACAGCAGAGGTCAAACCCTGAACAGTTAGGGCACGTATGGACACTACATTTAAGCTTGATACAGCTCTAAATTTTGATTGTGATTAAATATTTGACACATTATATGTTTCTCACACAGAATGCATGTGGTCAAAGAACTGAACAATTTGAAATAAGACTTTAGCTTTAATGAGCCAATATCAAAAATCTGAATAAAAGAGATTAGATTACGCATATCAAATAACCCCAATGAAATAAAAAAAGTTTAATTTTGGACCATTTGGACCTCAATGTGGACCAATTTGATAACATCAAAATTTAAATACAAGGTTAGATTCAGCATATCAAAAAACCCCATATATCAAATTTTTGGACCCGATTGGGATAGATTCAGCATATCTAAGTACACCAAGAATTTACTGTATTCATTTATTAATGGACAATATGAGCCTTGTTTTTAAAGGGGTCGCTTCATAAAAAAAATATATAATATATATATATACATAACTACTCTAAATATCAGTACAACAATGTTAAATCGGCAAATTTGCGGAAGCAAAATTTTTGTTCTTCCCTCGCCGGGATTCGAACTCATGCTATTGGGATATCGAGACAACACCGCATGCACTGTGTCCATCGCTCTAGACCACTCGACGGATTTACAGCTCTACTTTACCATTTTATGATATAATAAGGATCAGTAAATTTTTAACTATATTTCTAAAATTAAATAACTATATCACGCCATATCTATTTTAAACTTTGACTCTACTTATAATTTCTATCATTGTGCATTACAGCTCTGATTAAATATTTTATATAGCATAGTTTCTGACACAGAAAGAATGTGTTCTATTAGTACCTAAAATAATTTCAAATTGGATATTTACCAATTATGGTCCAATATCCAAAATCTCAATACATGGTTGGAATCAGCATATCTCAGAACCCCAGGAATTCATTTTTTTTATGAAATCAAACAAAGTCTAATTTTCGACCTTGTGGACCAATTTGATAACAGGACCCACAATCTAAAATCCAGCTACACGCTTAGATTCAGCATATCAAAGAACTCCATATAATCATTCAAGAGGCTGTCAGAGTGACAGCAAACCAAATTTTCCTGCATGAAAATGATATTTGAAAATCTGGACCCCCAAACATGATCAAGTAAAATAAAATATATATAGCATTCAGAAAATTAGTTTATACAGAATAAAAAACAAACCTACCACAAAATTCTTCAAACGATTTATCAAAGAAAAGAAAATAATGAAAATGATATTTGAAAATCTGGACCCCCAAACAGGATCAAGTAAAAATTAAACATAAACACACCCAACAAAAATAAAATACCACATAACAACTGTAACATATACTTATTAATTACATCATTTCTGTTCAAAGGGAAATAACTCAAAATAAAAATAGATTATATAACAAATAACTGAAAGGTCTATTAATTACATCATTTCTTTTAAGGGAAATAACTCAAAATATAAATAAATCATATAATAAATAACTGAAAGATCTACAACTCAACAACCAGAAAAGCTAAATTCGTGAAAATTGAACTAGACCTTCATTTAGTCACAGGAAACAACATATCAAAGCGTTTTCATGTTAATAAACGGACACTGTTTGGCAGACGAAAGCCCGCCCGCCTGCCCGCCGTACATCCCCAAATTAATAATCGATTTTATCCTTCGAAAATCCGGTTAACAAAATTTAATTTTGATCCCAGATTTGGACCAAATTGAAAACTGTGGCCAAATTCAAAAATCTAAATAGACGCTTATATTCAGCAAATCAAAGAACCCCAAAGAAATCATTTTTTTTTAAATTAAACATAGTTTGATATGAATCTTTGGACCTTAATGAGGACCAATTTGGAGACAGGCCCCAAAATTAAAAATATAAATACAAGGTTAGATTCAGCATATCAAAGAACACAAATAATTCAATTTGTGATGAAATAAAATGAAGTTTAAATTTGGACAGGGCCCAAAATCCAAATTCTAGATGGCCAGTTAGATTTATCATATTAAAGAACCCCACGATTTCAAGATTTTGAGTTAAACCCCATTGATATTTGCCAAGAAATAAGAAATTTATACAAATTATTACAAAAGTATTGAAATTGGCCCCTTTTTCCTCAACTTAAGGTCATAACCCCCCAAAATCAATATAAACCTTCCTTTCATGGTATAAAACCTTGTGGCACAATTAAATAGCAATCCATAGACTTGTACTCAAGTTAGTGTCCAGAAACAAGAAAATACTACTATTTTTGCCCCTTTTTCGGCCCCTTATTCCTAAACGATTTGGGCCATGACCCCCAAAATCAACCCGCGACATCCTATTGTAGTAAACCTTGTGCTAAAATTTCTGAGAGATCAATACACTTATACTCAAGTTAGTGTCTGCGAACCAAAATGTCTCTGGACGACGACGCAGACACGCAAACATTTTGCGGTCGTATAAAAAGTCACTACAGAAGGATGAGAGCGTTATGTTTATTTCGTGAAAATCTGTCATTATCAACAACATCTATGACAATTTTACTGTCCGCTGAAAGTTGCAAAAGGTACGAACAAATTAATGAGTATACTAGTATATTGATTTTTTTTCGCTTTACCGTAAAAATTATTCATATTTGTATTTTAATTAAAAAAAAAAGAGTCTAGAAAAACAACCAACTATCCTTTAAGTAGACATAAGATCATATAGAATTGTTACTACACAAACAGAAAAAAGCAAGTTGAACTGTGAGCCACTGTTCACTAATGATATCCCAGGAAAAATATCCAGTAAACAGGTTGAAAAACAATGGAGCCACTCATATCACATGTTATAGCATACTAACAATAATTTTGATAACATTTTTAAGTGTGTTCTGAATCGTAGTTTCTGAGAAAATGTTACGAATATTTCATACATTGCCATTACATATATATGAATATATGAATATTTGGTGAACAGGAAGTTAGTAATCGATGAATTTAGAAACGCGTCATATTATATAGCATGCTTACAGGAAGCTTAATTGCTATGATATTTAGGAACACTCTGAAAGAATAACCAAACGAATAAAATAAAATGAAAAACTATTTTTATAACACTCATTAGCGTGTTAAAGTAGCAATCTTAAGCATTTCTAGAATCTAATTTAGTAACTGCATCAGTTTATTTTCAATCTGATCCACGCCTAGATAGATTGAATGCAGATTGTTGCTTTTTTAGACACACTGATGAACATATATAAAAAGAATGTTCAAATCCCAAAATTCCTTTTAGAAGATACAAATCAAGATGAAAAAACAAAATCTGAAGGAACTGTATGAACTCCAAAAGGACGAGACCGATGATAAAGGATAAAATATATAAACAGACATAGCTTCGGTAGTATTCCCAATCTCAAGTTATCTGGGATATATCAGATGCAAGCTAACTGAAATGTGAGTAATTAAGTGAAATCATATCATCAATATATTAGAAAGTGGAATTAAAGAACTCAGCAAGATGATTTTTGTTTTGTCTTTGAGAATGTTCTGTGTGAATACTGCTTCATATGACCAAAATAAACCATGTCGGTCAGTAGGGGCGCACAATTAGTTCCTATTGAAATATCAAGCCATCAAAAAACTCAACAAGATATCAAAACATCCAACCTTCTGATTATATCATTTTAAGGTGTATTATTTGTATAAATCTTTATTTTATAATACGATGTAGTTGATGTTATAATTGAGCATAGGCAAAGAAAATTCAAAACTTTGTGATGAAAGACTTTTGAGTAGATCTTTATTTTTCCGAATCCACATCTGATTGAAACTGCTGGTTGAATATGCCTCATTACAATTATTTGAAAACCATCTTTTATTGTAAAATGCTTACCAAGTCAGGAATATTGTGAGAATTGTGTTCCATTCGGTCCATTGGTTGATCAAGTCTTACGTTTGATTTTGGCAGGTTTTATGGACTTTACCTTGTAATTTGTTTTTTTTAATACTGTTCTACTGTAGACAGAATGATAGTATGAACTTTGGAACGACGATAAGTCGAACATCTTAACTTCCCGGCTATTCATTATTCTTAATGAGTCAAATATTGATAAAAAGACCTACTAATTCATAGTTCAGTCTATTTTAAGGTATGTTTGGATAAAAACGGAAGTCTCAGTTTAAAATCGATTTTGTAGTGTGAGTCATTCGGAACCGCTTCAGTGGTTTTCGTTGTTTACATCTAAGTATTTTTGTGTCTTCAAGATTTGTCTTTAACTTATAGAAAAGTTAATGTTTTTCTCTGTGGGTACTCAGACTACTACATATTGTTCTACCTTAATAGTGCTAAGATTTTGTCAGCATAATGAATAGATGACGAATGATCATATTTTAGTTTACTAGGGCATTTCTTGATAAGTTTCATTTTAACACTGCACGTATCTCAGAGGTGATAATACATACTTTAATTATTGCCCAAATACATGTTTAATGTACGGAAAAAAATCTAGTGCGCTGAAATACCTCTTAATCGTCCTCTTGACTTAACACCGTACATGCGTCTTCTTCATTATTCCATTTTGAATTCAGGGAAATGTGTAAAGACATTTTCATTCGTAAAAAAACAAGTGTTGAGTTGGGTATGACATATGGCATAGACCTTCTGAATTCGCTTTAGGTGTAATACCGCCAAATCATAGTACGTCACATCAAGTTGCATACGAAAAAGGGTCGAAAAAAAAATATACCAAGGAATTTGACAGTTGTAGGAAATTAATCCTGCATTTCATTGCAGTAAAAAATTTCTGAGTCATAAGCTATACATTGGGTATTTCAAAGCATCATTCATTTTTTATTTGGTGTTTCTATAGAATATTTTGGAAATTTGATTGGTTAACTTCCAGTGATGCTTATTATCTTGTATGCAACGAAATGTTATGTGAAATTTTGTCTGTAGTACTGGAAGGATAAAACTTTACTCATGCCAAGTATTTCTTTATTTGAAACAAAGATACATTCTGCACAATTTTTTTGAAAAGTGCAAATTTAACAAAGACTAATAGGGGAGAACAATGGTCGTATTTCACCTAAATTTACCAGCCCATGCTAAATTGTGGTGTCCGAATGACTGTGCGACATATATGAAATACACAACAATTTCCGGTCTAGTTTGGGTTTTTGAATCCGATGCCTCGTGTAAGGAGTGTCATAGTCTGTTCACGTCAACTTAAGTTTAAAACGACCATGAGAGGTCCGTAGTTGACTTTTTACATGACATTATTTATGCCTATTCAACATACTTCACCTTCCACTGCCAGTTGAACTTCCCATCATTCATTTGAAACGACTTTTTGGTTTCTTTAGATTAAATTTCGACCTGAATATACATTAAATGTATGCCACTGGATAGTTAGCGAACGAAAATCAATCAATCAGTAAATCTTTTTCGTAGGTCCTTTTAAAACCTTGATCTGATCAACTCATACCAATGTAAATTAGATTGTCTAGCATCACGTGATTTTTTTCCTCGAACCATGAGGAAAAGTATAGATATAACGTGGACTAAGTTTCAAAAGGGATTTAATCATGTTTTAATTTATATCATCTCTATAACAGGAAACTCTTCAAAGTTTGATATGGGTGCATTCACTCACCAGATACAACCTATCATTTGTTGTAACAATTTAAAATACGTACTTGTCTCTTATAAATGGAGAAACTTTGCATTCTTCTATAAGATGCTTCACAACATACAAATGCCCTGCTGAAGCTGCTACATGGAGGGGTGTATTCTTCATATAATCTCCAACGTCAAAATACGGATACTCAGATCTAAAATAAATAAGCATCATAATGTCTTGGTTTTGTCGTCTCTGTTTATTACAATATACAGAAAAAGACGCTCATACGAGATTACTGAACATGATTTGAAGTTTAAATGACCACGACGGAAGTGACCCTCTAATCACAATCAAATTTATTTTATATTTGAATTGAAGTCATTGACAAAATTACCTATTGCACGACAAAATAAGGTTTATAGTCAGTGACTCTGTCAGACAGACATGTGCATCTATCATATCGACCAACTGACGTAGTCAAAGGATGAAGCATGATAAAGCCACTAATATTGTCCCTTGAATTCGAAAATCGAGAATCACAAATCTACTAAATAACATCTTTCAAATGTCCATTAGACATAATTAGTCTGTAAGAAATCAGTATTTATATTTTTGAATTTCGTCTTGCATATTTGTATTAGAGCTTCAAACCTCTTGAATTAAGTGAAAAGTGAATAAATTAACAAATTAGCCAGATTTTGAGATATTGCCTTAAACATTTAGAGATGAGAAACAGCTTTATCCAATCAAAGCATCATCGATGTTGTGATTCAGCCAATTTTGTAGCTAGTCTGACATTTTTTCTGACCATACTTTCAAAAATTATTTTGTTATCTTCATTTCCATAATCTCACTGTAAAATTCAAAAAGATGGAGAATTTTGCAATATTGATGCAGATAATTTTGGTATTTCAATTGAAGACACTGTCAGATTTTTTAAAATCTTTTTTTTTAGAAACATTTGAAATTCAATGATTTTGACAAGAATGTTAGGGACTATCTTCAAATGTGTAGCATATTCTTTATATAAATGTGTTGCAGAAAATTCTCAGGTAAGAGTTATGCAATTGTGTTTATTAATTCAACCAAATTACGATAATTGTAACTTAAATAGATATTAATTATTAACTTAAGTCAGATGATTATGACACTATTTTACAGCGATTGAGGTCAAGGTTTTGTGTATCCAGTTAGATGTGTAATAAATTGAATACACAAATTCTTGACCTCAATACCAGTGTGATTATCAACTGTCATGATATATTAATATAACTGGTCAATTATGACTGCATTTGAGTGGAGATTAATCCAATTACTACTTTCACCTTTGAGTGTAATTGTTTGAAAATCGTGGCAGCTATCTATCATACTGGTATTGTATAATGCAAAATGGGAATAATAGCATTTCAAACAAGAGGCTCTCAAGAGCCTTAATCGCTCACCTGTAATTTTTTGCTTAAATCTTTCATCAATGATTATTTTTGCTTTTCAATATATATTAATGAGTGGCTTAAAAATGCCATTTAAATGTTCTTTGTATCTGTCATATTTTCTTCAAAAGCAAAAAAATGCATTTTACCCCTATGTTCCATTTTAGCCATAGTGGCTATGTTTCTTAACGTACAAGGAAATAAAACACAAAATTTATACAAGATACTCTGAAACTCATTCATCCCAAGTTTGGCTGAAATTAATTTAGCAGTTTCAAAGGAGAAGATTTTTTAAAGTAAGCACACTAGATTAGATGAACAAATTGTGAAAAATTGTCTTTAAAGGACAATAACTCCTTAAGGGGTCAATTGACAATTTTGGTCATATAAAAACTTATTTGTAGATCTTACTTTGCCGAACATTTTTGCTGTTTAAAGTTTATCTTTATCTATAATAGTATTCAAGATAATAACTGAAAACTGCAAAATTTCCTTAAAATCATCAATTCAGGGGCAATAACCTAAAAATCAGATACCCGATTTGGTTGTTAATTTCAGGGCAGGTAGACCTTGACCTAATACATACTTTAACTTCTTGTCTGATTTGCTCTAAATGCTTTAGTTTTTGAGATATAAGTCAAAAACTGCATTTAACCCTATGTTCTATTTTTAGCCATGGCGGCCATGTTTTCTGAGGAAACACAAAATAAAACACAAACTTTATTCTAGATAACCTAAGAATCATTCAGCTTAAGTTTGGTTGGAATTGGTTCAGTAGTTTCAGAGAAGAAGATTTTTAAAAAATGGAAAACATGATAAACAAATTGTGTAAAATTGTCCTTAAAGAGCAATAACTCCTTAAGGGGTCAATTGACAATTTTTGTCATATTAACTTATTTGTAGATCTTACTTTGCTGAACATTTTCTCTGTTTACAGTTTATCTCTATCTATAATAATATTCAAGATAATAATCAAAAACTGCAAAGTTTCCTTATAATTACCAATTTAGTGGAAGCAACCCAACAATGGGTTGTTAGATTCATCTGAAAATTTTAGGGCTGATAGAACTTGACCTAATGAACATTTTTACCACATGTCAGATTTGCTCTAAATGCTTTGGTTTTTGGGATATAAACCAAAAACTGCATTTTACCCCTATGTTCTATTTTTAGCCATGGCGGCCATGTTTTTTGACGAAACAGAATATAAAACACAAACTTTATTCTAGATACCCTAAGGATCATTCAACTTAAGTTTGGTTGGAATTGGTTCAGTAGTTTCAGAGCAGAAGATGTTTGAAATAGTTTACCCCGGACGGACGACGACGACGGACGCCAAGTGATGACAAAAGCTCACTGTTCCTTCGGAACGGTGAGCTCAAAAGTGTAGGAATCAACTTTGATATCAATGCACATCTTGAACCAAATTTTATTCAATGGCTTACAGGAACATAAGATACTGGTAAAACACTTTCATTATTCTTATCAACTGCTTTAATTTGATAAATCACATTTTCCACATAAATTAATATATAGAAATTAAATATATAAATTTAGATTTACAACGGAACTGTATGCAAGTGTATATCTAAAATAAATAAGTTGTTCGCCCAACCTTTTCTTAATATAAGGACAAATAACATGTTAAAAGTTGGCAGTTGATGATTAAAATGGTGTAGAAAGTTTCTGCAAGTCATAGCAACACATAATTATTTTCATGACTTGTCTTCAACTTAGAATTTTGCACCATCTCCAAATCCAGAGTGATCGCATAGATCCAGCATGGCTGAATCAAAAATATAATTAGCTATACGATACATTTCGCACATATGTTAATAAGTGTAAAATATCTTTTAGGGTAAGGCTGTTGCCCATATCTATTTTGTTAAAAAACGATGTGTAAACTGGTCATTTGAGCTCAAGTATATCAATTTAATAGATATAAGAAGATGTGGTATGAGTGCCAATGAGACAACTCTACATCCAAGTCATAATTTGTAAAAGTAAACCATTATAGATCAAAGTACGGTCTTCATCACGGAGCCTTGGCTCACACCGAACAGCAAGCTATAAAGGGCCCCAAAAATGACTAGTGTAAAACTATCAAACGGGAAAACCAACGGTCTAATTTATAAAAATCAAAGTGCTGGATAGCACCTGTGGAAAGTTTGCAACAGTAGATGTATATTATTTCAAATGGGTTGTAGATGTGTATTATTTCAAATAGGTTGTAGATGTGTATTACTTCAAATTGGTTGTAGATGTGTATTATTTCAAATAGGTTGTAGATGTGTATTATTTCAATTATGTATTTAATCACAGCTTTGGTGTTTTTCCCTAAAAAATTGTCTCATCAGCAATTATCAAAAATCACTTTTTTCATATGTTTGTCATGTAAAATTTTGATAATTTCTATTGCAACCTTAAACTGTAGATTTAAAATAATCAAATATGCAGAAAGCTCTGTTAAATTCTTTCTGTGCCCATCCCATGTAAAGGGCCTGTGATTAAGTATTTTTTATTGATTAAGGTCCTTCATATTTGTTTTTAGGAAAATGTATATTTAGCAGTTAGTTTTCTTGTTTGAATTGTTATATATTGAACAAACTCGGACTACGATTAGTAGATTGTGTGGTTAACGGTTTTTTCCGATTTTTAAAATATTTTACTTAATACAAGAAATAATTGTAACAGGATGCTGTTACGAAGTCTCCCAAACAAAGCTCCCATAATTAGTAATTCCCAAAGTCGCCTGACATTGGGCAACGTCTAGTACAAATTGGTTTGGTCTAGTAAAGTGATATGCATAAGTGACGCCTAGGGATTAACCCTGTATGTCATTCAAATCTTCTTGAAATCATGGACAGGAATATATATGGTTTAGGGGTGGGGATCTCGACCTTCGGAACGGTGAGCTAAAAAGTGTGGGAATCAAATTTGATATCAATACACATCTTGAACCAAATTTCATTCAGCTTAAGTTTGGTTGGATTTGGTTCAGTGGTTTCAGAAGAGAAGATTTTTTAAAGTTAGAAAACATGATAAACAAAATGTGTAAAATTGTCCTTAAACACCAATAACTCTTTAAGGGGTCAATGACAATTTTGGTCATATAAACGTATTCGGAGATCTTATTTTGCTGAACAAATTTGCTGTTTACAGTTTATCTTTATCATTAATACTATTCAAGATAATAACCAAAAGCTGCAAAATTTCCTTTAAATTACCAATTTAGTGGCAGCAACCCAACAATGAATTATTGGATTCATCAGAAAATTTCAGGGCTGATAGAACTTCACCTAATGAACACTTTTACCGTATGTCAGATTTGCTCTAACTGCTTTGGTTTTTGAGATATAAGCCAAAAACTGCATTTTACCCTATGTTCTATTTTTAGACATGGCCGCCATGTTTTTTGACGAAACATAAAATAAAACAAAAACTTTATTCTAAATACCCGTAGGATCATTCAGCTAAAGTTTGGTTGGAATTGGTTCCGTAGTTTTAGAAGAGATGATGTTTGAAATAGTTTACACCAGACGGACGACGACGACGGACGACAACGGACGCAAAGTGATGACAAAAGCTCACAGTTCCTTCGGAACGGTGAGCTAAACAAGGGGGGGGGGGGGGGGGGGGGGATTCTCATGGGACTCTTTATTTCATTTGATTTGTTTTATTGTCCTGTACAAGAATATATATGGTTTTGGGGTGGGGATCTCGACCGTTTACAAGATTTCAAAAAGAAGGGGGTGGGGTGACCCCTGTTAACTTCCCCTAT